AATTAAATTGAGAATCAACAAAAAAAATAATGCAACTTCAAAATTAAAAAAAAAGGTAGAATTGACATAATTATTATTAGGGGTTTAAGGTGTAAATTTATCTCAACCATTCAATTTGGATCAAGATATAAAATTAGTTTATATAAGGAATAATTTAAAGATATAAATTTCACATAAAAGGATATAATAGTAAATTAGTTAGTAGCTTCCCTCCCTTTCTAAACTAAATAAGAGATCATTAAAAATCTATTCCCTCCCTTTCTCTTTAACAAAACCAAACAATACAACATTAAAACTCCCTCCCATCTCCTTTCCTTAAACCAAACACACCCTAGGTTCATGTGTGATTATGAAACTCATTTGCACTGTTTAGATAATTTTTTGAAAACTTCTATTAATTGTAATTTAGATTCTTTACTGCATATTGAGTAGAAGCTGCTAGGAGGTGCTTATGCGTTCAAAAAATTATGATTGAGTTTTTATTAAATTATATTTGATAATAATAATTACAGAAGATTAAAAACTTTATAAAAATCATACTTTTAAGTGATTATATATCTAAACGTGATTTTGATGAGGACAATCAAAACAGAACTAACTTTCTTATAATCACTTTTTAAAATAGTATCCAAATAAAAATTATAATTATCGACCTCACTTTTAATTAATGTCACTTTTAAAAATTATGATTATTTATAATTTTATTTATTTAATTCCAATCCAAATGGGCACTAAATACATGGAGGAAAGCCATAGCCGTATTCACTAGATTACTTGTAAATTTTGAGAAATGTTTAAAAGAATATTACTTTAAAGTCAAGTAAAAGTGACAATAAAATTTCTTTAAAATATATAAATAATAATTTAATTTTTTAAAATACAATAATTTCTCAAAAGTTTCTATAAATTTTTCTATCATTAATGAATTTATATAAATTATTAAATTATCCTTGTTGAAAATAAATGATTCATAAGTTTTGTTTAAATATTTACAAATTTTTTTATATTTACAACAATACAACAGTAAATCACAACTTTATATATTAAATTTTTTATTTACTGTTGTATTGTTACGAATATAAGAAGAAAAGTTATGAATATTTAAACAAAACTTGTAAATAATTTATTTTTAACAAGAATAATTTAATAATTTATATAAATTTATTAAAGACAGAAAAGTTCTTAAAATTTTTTAAAAAATTATGATATTTTAAAAGATTAAATTATCATTTATATATTTTAAAAAAATTTTATTATCATTTTTTTAAAGTTAAGCAAATTATCTACCACTTGGTTAGATGGCCATTGTAATGTAAATTTTAAAAACAAATTGATAGACGTTTTCATAAATCACTTTATATGAACAATGAATAATTATTTTCTTCTTTTTTTTTCAATTTTAGTATTTCTCAATTTTCTATAGATTAAATAAAATGTAATGTATGAACGAAAAATTATTTTTAAAAATAACTTGGGCATAGCTAGAGCTGATAATTCGGACTAAACCCGACGGGCTAGCCCGAATTGGCCTGAAAAATTTTAGGATCGGGCTTAAAAATGATGTTTTTTTATGTTCGGGCTTATTCGAGCCAAGCTTGATCGGGTTCGGGTTTGGCCCGAATACTCGAATAAAAAATTTATATTTTTAAAAAATATATAAAATATAATAAATATTAATTAATTCTTTAAATTTTAGATCATTTTATACTAAAATATCATATATTTGAGTCCTAGACATCATTTAAGTATTAAAAAAATATATTTTATATTTTTTATAAAATAAAATAATTAATTTTAAAGTAAAAAAATAATTAAAAATAATTTTAAAAACTAAATTCGAGTATTCGGATCACCTAAAATCTGAAAAAATTTAAGTCGAATTTAACTATTCAAATTTTTTAAGAACACGGGCCTCTTCAGACTGAGCCTGAATAGATCCGACCTGCTTATTTTTCCGGCTCTAGGCATAGCATCCTTGTGGAAGTTGGATACGCGTCGAGTGGGTGAATATTCGAGAAGCATATAAGAATTTTAGAGGAAATAAGAGGAAAAGCTGAACAAAACGAAGTAAATACAGAAATGAAACTTTCTGAAGCACGTGGTTGTACGTTCCCTGGAAATCTGATTGTGACCCATCCCTATCTCGGACTCTGAAATTAATGGACGAATTAAAATTTAATATTTAATACTTTTAACATATTACAGTCCATTGAAATATCAATGACTTCATCCAAAATTAAGAGGATAAAAAAATTTTAAATTTATTAATTAAAAACATTTTAAATGATTAAAAAGTTTTAAAAGTAAATGAAGTTTTAGAAGATGAAAAAAAAAACTCTTAATATATTAGGTTTAACCCAAGACACTCAGACTCATAAACCCAAATTAGTTTAGTTATTATTTTTTTCTTAAATTTAAGAAATTAATTTATCTTATTTTTATTTTAAATTTAAGTTTAGGAAAATAGTTTATTTTTTTTACTATAATATATCCATTAATGACATGATCTATCCATTTGAAATTCTAAATTAACTAAGAGTGTGCCATTTAAGTTTTTAAAAGTTTATTTAAATAGTTAAGTTATTTGTATTTTTCATACTTTAATTTGAATTTATGAATTAAATTTTTCAATTGTGAGGCTATTTTAATTAATGTTATTCTCTGTAAGATAACATACCATGAAATTTTAAATTATTGTGAGCTATTATTCAATTGACTTGTATCACTCTATTTTTAAAATTATGTGCAACTCTCAATCAATATAATTAATTGCTCTTAGATTTATTGATAATTAAATTTAGGAGGATGATATCTTAAATTAAATTGTCACTGAGTCTCAAAATAATTAATTGTGTTGAGTGTTACTTAAAGTAATTCTCAATTTTTTTAACTATTCCCTTCAAATTAAATTTTACATTTATCTTTCTTATCAAGCTATTAAAAATTAAACTGATCATTTAAAATACTAACTTAAAAGTAAATGGTTAAAAATTTAATTAAATTATAATTAAATTAGTCATAAATAAAATATTTTATTATACTAATTAAAATTAATTTAATAATTTATCAGTTCAACTAACTTGAATTTCTATATTATTTTTTTTATATTCTCAAAGGATAATAACATTAAAATTCCAAAACAAGAAATTAATATAAGTTATATTCTTAATAATTTTTTTAAAATAAATTATAAATATTAATTTAATAATTATTAAAAAAACTCAATTACAAATAGAGAGTTACCTTATTTGTAGTTAAAATTTTTAAATTTACAATTTAAATTGATATTTACAATTTTTTTAAATTTTTTTATTAGAGTCTCTGCTATCATTAATATTATATAATTGCAAGGTATGTTAGATTACTGTAAATCTACATTATATGACATTTATTTTTTAAACAAATTTATATATTGACATTTACTTTTGGGAGAATGATATTGACGGTTTTTTTGAAAGAATTTATCGTCACAAGGGCTCATTAATTTTGTATTGGATATTAACTTGTGAAAATATATATACATTATTGTTAATAGTTAAACCTTAATTTGTAATTTTTTAGGTTTTTCTTAATTTAGCAAGTTAATATTTAGCTAACAATTATAACATGTACTTCCTTCGTTCAAAAATATAAAATATTTTTAATTAAATTTTATCTCTCAATAAAGTGGTTACTTATTTTTAAACTAATCCTATCTTTTCATATTTACCTTTATTAAACACACTATAATAAATATAAAATCACTAACAATATTGGACACTTAAAAAAAAAGATAATGATACATTTTGAAAGACTAAAAATGCATTATATTTTTAAACATATAATTTTTTAAAAATATCTTACATTTTTAAATGGAAGGAGTATGTGTTTTCATGAGATAATATTTAATACAAAATTTATAGACTTTTATTGTGATAAATTTCATGCAAAGGATATTAATTGTCATTCTCTTTTTATTTTTTAAATTTTTATATATGAAAAAAGTTATGTGGGGTGCACAAAAAATTAAAGTCTACGACCTACAATAACAATAAAAAAATAGATGACACATACCAGACTTATAATGAAAATGATAGGCATGAGACTTGAAATAAAATAATAAATTTAATTTAGATGAAATTATAAAAATAATGATATGCAATCAGTTGTTTTTTTTTTCAAAATTTAATTTATATAGAATAATAAATTTTAAATAAAATAATATTGCTTGTACTTTTTTATATGTATAAGATAAAAAATGTTTAAATTTAATTTATGCAGGGATACTCATCTTAGAATGATACACTAAAATAATTTTTTTTAATTTTCATACTTTTATTTAAATTTTATCTTTTAAATATTAAAGTACCCTGCATTTTTCTTTCTTTCCTTTTTTAATGAAGTATCTCCACTTGTCAAAAAAATTACCTCGTGCAACACATGCGAATAAATGAATTTTTTTTAATATCATAAATGCAGTTCTTTTTAAGCATAACTCATTCCTCCCCATTCTTACGCCTCAATTGGTCAATTTCATACTTTTTTGGGGCGAAAAAATATATATACTTCATTATCCAATAATAATAATAATAATAACAATAATAATCATGCACACACTTTTCATGCTTTTGTATTTTACTTTCTTAAAAAAAATATTAGTCTTTTCAGTTAAAAAATATTAGTCATAATTTCTTCTGGCCACAAAAATATTATTCATAATAAAAACAAAAGAATAATTTTCACATATTTATATTCATCCGATTTTTTTATAAATTAATTTTATCAATCTCATTAATATTAATATAAAAAATTAAAAAATAAAATTTTAAATATGTTTTTATAAAATAAATTTAAAAAATAATATTATATTATTTTTTAAATAAAAATTTTAAAAATATTTTTTAAATATTACTTAAAAATATCATTCATTTATAAATAGAATTAAACAGGTTTTTTTAAAACGTATTCTCTCTGTTTTTTTTTTTTTTGTTTAAACTGCTGATCAAGGAGTCTACTGATCAAGGAGCACTTGGCCGTTTGAGGAACGCCTTCGGCCTTCTTCGTCCTATAAATTTCTCTCCTCCCAGCCCTCTTCGGATCAACATTCAGCCCTGTCTTGAGCCTCCCATAGAGATATCAGAGAGGAAGAAAGCTCGAGAGAGAGAGAAAGCTCGAGAGAGAGATGGGTAAGGAAGATGAAGCTCCATTGCTAGCAAAGAGTGGTGAAGAAGAAGGCGGCAACAATGGAGTTGTGATGTCGTCTTCTGACAGTAGTACGTTTTGCCAAGAGTTGAAGAGGTTGAGCTCCATGGCTGCTCCAATGGTGGCCGTCACTGTGTCTCAGTATCTTCTGCAAGTCGTGTCCATGATGATGGTTGGGCACATTGGGAAGCTCGCCTTCTCCGGTGTCGCAATCGCCACCTCTTTCGCTGAAGTCACCGGTTTCAGTGTTCTTGTAAGTCCGCTTCGTCCTCCTTCATGATTTTTTTCCCTATCAGTTTTCTCATTATTGGAATTTTGATTTTTCTTTCAGCTAAAGTTAAAATCCACTGACTGACTTTTTTAGGGACGAAGCCACTCGATGCAAAAAGTTCGGATTTAGTGCTAATCCTGTGGCTGTGTCACATGAGAAAAAGTATTCATGGATCATTTACTCTGATTCTTAGTCGATTCACTTTATTTTAGAGCTGTTTTTTGTTTTTTGTTTTTATTAATGATGATGTGCTTTGCATCAGTTTCCTTGTGGGCTCGTCTTTTCTCCTCCTTTGCTCTTGATTCAAAGGATGCTTTTCAGCTTAGTCCACATTTGCCATGACTAGAATCTCACTGTAGCTTCTTGAAATTTTCATGAGCTAAAGTAAGATTCTATGGCTGATTTTATATTTCTTTGCCTGTCATTTTTATTTATATTTTTTTTGGGGAACATGAAATCTTTCCTGATCTCTGAGGAGAAGGTACTTGATCTTAAAAAAAGTTAGGGCTTGGCACTAATACGGTTGCTGAGTCATATGGAAAAGTTTAATCGGCAACAATATACAACCCTGTTCTTCAAACTTGGTTTATTAAACGTTTCGCTTTGTTTTATGCTATATTTTAGAGATGATTGTGGAACAGGCATGGATCAGGTCGCACAAAGAAAACCCATTCCTGAAATTAAATCCGTAAGACTTAATTTGATCTCTGATCGAATGAACAAAGCGGGAGTGTGTGTACTTTGCAGATTTAATCTCTTTTTGAATATCACACTTTCTTTTAACTGTTAAGTACTAATTAACGGCTCCATCTACTTATTTCATCCTAATATTTCGTCCTGACATCATGAGGTTTTGAGATAGAATCTTCTCAGTGATTCAAAGCCGAGAACTGAAAAATCCTGCATTCCAACTCAACATAAATATTTGTTTCACTTCCGTTCGTGCTCTTGTATTTTGAAAGTTTCCCTTTTCAAATGGTTCCTCTTAAGTTTGTTTGGTTCTTCTGAAGACTTGACACACATAAGGACAGGCTTGCAATATTATTTGTAAAATATTTTGGCTTCAATTTAGTATTCAAACTCAGATCCTCTGGCGACTCTAATATACTATGCACAGCTCATTGGTTTGGATCTTGACAACGAAGCTCCGATTGTTCCTGAACTGAACTGCAGCTTGTTTTGATACATGTATTAGATAGATGTGATTGGCTATAAATTGCATCCAACCGCCAGTGAATATCTTGTTCCATGTCTCATGTTAGTTTCTGATGATTTACTAGATTCTGAATGTTGTTTCAGATAGGAATGGCTGGTGCATTAGAAACTCTATGTGGGCAGACTTATGGTGCAGAAAATTTCAAGAAGCTGGGGAACTATACATGCTGTGCAATAATATCATTGATGCTTGTCTGTGTCCCTATATCTGTGGTGTGGATATTCACGGATAAAATACTATTACTATTTGGTCAAGACCCTGAAATTTCTCATGTAGCTCGGATATACTGCATATACCTCATCCCAGCACTGTTTGGCTATGGTGTTCTACAATCACTGGTTCGCTACTTCCAGACTCAGTGTATGATCTATCCCATGGTTTTGAGCTCAATTGCGGTTCTGTGTTTGCATGTTCCTGTGTGTTGGGGTCTCGTGTATGGATTGGGAATGGGACACGCTGGAGCAGCATTAGCCATTGGGATTTCATATTGGTTGAATGTCATTGGGCTTGGACTTTATATGAAGTATTCCAAAGCATGTGAGAAAACACAGCTTGTGTTCTCTAGTACTGCTTTGCTAAACATTTCAGAGTTCTTCGAATTTGCTATTCCTTCTGGACTTATGGTTTGGTAACAACATCATATTACTTTCTGCATCTTTTGACAGAAAATGACAGTTATCTGTTGTTTATGTATTTGTGTTCTGTTTTCTTTTGCTCTCTTTTTCCAATTATCTTCTCATTTGAATGTTTTGTAGCTTTGAATGGTGGTCCTTTGAGTTGCTTACCCTACTTGCTGGGCTTCTGCCTAACCCACAACTTGAAACCTCAATTCTATCTGTCTGGTGAGTTTTCTTGGAATCAATCTCTCATCAATTATTGAGATAAATTGTCTTAATGGCTTCCTCTAACTTTTCTCTTGAATCTTTCCAGCCTGAGCATTACAACATTGCACTACTTCGTTCCTTACGGTGTTGGTGCAGCTGTAAGGTCTGTTCTAGAACTGTTATTCATGTGAATGGGCTTCCATACGCTTATGATCTCTCTACTTTCCCAAAAAGTTTCACTTTGGTCACTCTAATTTTAAAATTGGCAATACTAAGCACTCATTTTCTAAAACAATCCAACTTGCTTATGTATCGCATCTCCATCCCAAAATTTACACAAAATTAGGAGTCAAGTGGTGAGTAAGTAACAGTCAAGTTAACATACTACTTAGTTTGGCATTGAATTTTGAGTGGATCATGTCATAGAAAGGAATCAAGAGCTTCCTCAAGCTTTATGAATGCAAAATTATGTGTTGTTACTGTTAGAAGTATCTGTTAAACTGAAAATCCTGCATGATTGCTGCTACACAGTACTCGTGTTTCAAATGAACTTGGAGCAGATAATCCCCACACAGCACGAAACGCTGTTCGTGTAGTATTGGTGATTGGGATTGCAGAAGCCGCTGTCATTAGCACAGCTTTCTTCTTCTGCCGTCGCATATTGGGATATGCATTTAGCAATGACTTAGAAGTGGTTGATCATGTTGCACAATTGGTTCCTTTCCTTTGTCTATCTGTGAGTTCAGACAGCCTTGCAGGAATACTATGTGGTGAGTTTGTTGTTCAGAACAAATCACAAGCTGTTCAAAACAAAGAGTGTGTCTTTATATCAGACACATCTATGATTATGAAACACAATTTAGGAATTGCTCATGTCGTGTAGGGATTGCAAGAGGTGGTGGATTTCAGCGAGTTGGAGCATATGTGAACCTTGGTGCTTACTATCTGATTGGAACTCCTATTTCGGTCTTACTCGGATTTGTACTGCATTGGAGAGCCAAGGGACTATGGCTTGGAATTCTAGCGGGGTCCACGGTTCAAGCTGTTGTGCTCACTGTTGTCACAGCATTTACAGATTGGGAGAAAGAGGTTAGTTAACAAACGAGTAAATCACATGCATATCTCAGCCAATTAGGAGTTGTGCTAATTTAACCAGAGGTCTTGATTTGAGTATTGAGTATTTAGTTGCATTAATTTTTTTTTTTTTTTTTTTTTTGTGGGAAGAGCTTGGCATTCTTGTGGTTCGACCTAGCTTGATCCAGATTAATTGGGGTTCAAAGGATTTTGGATACCGGGTGCACATGAAAAAAATAAAATAAAGAGATTAGATCACGTACATATGTTGATTTGTAATAAACAACTCAATTAAGTAGAAGAGAGATGACTAATGACTGAGTTGTGTGGGGTTATTGCAGGCAACAAAAGCAAGGCAAAGACTACAAAAGGAGTCCTCAGATAAACCCAACAGCGCATTTGTATGAAGTGAAAGAGAAAAGCCAGAAGAAGGTAATGAAGTAAAACTAGAGAATGGGAGAAATGAATGAACTAATAACATCAAGTTGTTCATCTATGACTATGAAACTGTAATCTTTTTGTTTTTTTGGTTTGTTTGTTTTTGGGGTAGTGAAGAATTGTTGTTATCCGGCCATGGAAATAGAAGAGAGATGAGGTAGGTGGAGACTGTAGAGTTTCTGTCGTTTTGTGTTGTTGTTGTGTGTGTATGAGAGAGAGAGAGAGAGAGAGAGAGACAGCCTTTTTGTGTGTGCGGTGAATGGAGTATGTGATGTGGGACCCAGTCTTTGTGGAGCCTTTTGCTGGCGAAAATTAGGTACTGTTTGTTTGTTGTACAAATAGATGTGAGATATCTCATTATCTCTGATTTTTGGACGGAACTTGTGGCTATGTTGGACATGTCAGTAACTCTTATCTAAAAAGTATATTACCATATGCTCTTTTACTTTCATCTTCCACGTTCTGGACAATGCATCTAATACATTTACATAACAAAAGATAATGCATACAAAACAAAATAGATGATGGATATTAAGTTTAATTAAATATAAAGATAAAATGAGTATTGATATGAAATTGTAGAAAATTTATTATAAATCTGAAGAACTAGGTGTTATTATTCAGGACTTGGTGTTCTAAGTTCTAACAAACTATCTTGTAATAATTTTAAAACAATTAAGAAGTTTTTAGTTATAACACAACTGTGAGAGTGAGACACAACTAAAAGTTGTAGCATGAGACATACTCGAAATCCGATTTGAACGCTAGGAACTGAAAAAAATCATCGGACGTGCACGTGACAGTGAGATTAAAAGATTATTAGAACTTTTTAGTTTTTTTTATAAATCATTTCTATCAACTTTATCAATACAAAAAAAAATAGAAGGAATAAAAGAGTGTATAATTTCAAATATGCCTCTACATAATAAATTCAAAAAGTGATGTTATATTACTTTTTTTCTCTCATAAAAGGTAGTTTTAAAAATATTTTTTAAATATTACTTAAAAAATCGCACCATGATTTATAAATGGGATTAAATGAATCTTTAAAATATGTCTTATAAATGAGACCAGAGAGAGTATACCTTTAATCCAAAAATAAGAGATTATTAGTATACCAACCAAAGTTAAATTTAGCAGTAAAGATTAATGTCAAAACATGATCAACTAAAGTCTGAATTTTATTAAGAGAGATGCTCATGTTTAATGTCTACAATACCTTGAATAAGATTATCTCTGATTAAAAAATACTTCTACACAATAAAAGAAAAAGGATTATTCATATATGTAAAACACATTCTATGATATAAGATCTGGACGTCAAGGTATTTGTGTACTCCCTTCCATCATTGAGTGTTTAACAATTCTATTGGCTATAGATATAAGATCTGGCGTATCGCTTTGTTCGGTATAAAAAAAAAAAAAAAATCACTTTGTATAAAGCGATGAAGTATTAATCAACATTTTTTAAAATATTCCTATTTATAACTTTTCATGATTTTTTTAAAAATTAATACTTTTAAATAGGAGTACATTTAGATATTATTTCATTCTTAATAATTTAATTAATTCTCATTGATTCTGTTAAGGTAGTTAAAAACGTTTTACATCATAATAATATCAGATTTTTAATTTTTTTAATTTATATACTATCTTCAGACTAAAATATAAGATATTGGTAACTAATTCATAATTCTAAAAAATGTTAGTCGAAACTTTAATTTTTTTAAAAAAATTCATTTTTTTCAATTTCATCCTAATTAAATATTCAATATAACTGTCTTGATAATGATAACTAAAATTTTAATGTATTATTTTTAGAAAAGAGTAATAAATAAAGTAGGGATATAATTGAAAAAATAATTATAAAAATTATTCAATACCTTTTTTTTTTTGGACTAAGTAAAGCTTATATATTATAAGACACATCTAAGGCTCTCACTACCTCATCAGAGCCATTTTCTTTCATATTTAATGATATTTAAGAAAAAATAGTTAAGTTATTAATTGTCTAAAAATATAGTAATAAACTTTCAATTTTATTCCTATTTAAATGATTTTTTAAAATTTACATTTTATTCTCTCTCATAATTAATTAGTTTTAAAAAATAATATTAAAAAAAAGTAATTAATACCACTTCAAATACTTTATATTGAGGACTAGTTTTTTTTTTTTTTGTCCCCCTAGAAAATGCCTTACAGTAAACACCAAACCTCCGTTTCTATATAGGAGAAACTATTTCTTTTTATTGATTTTTTATATAAATAAAATTACCTATTTAAATAAATATTTTTTATATATTTTCTAAATCACCCCTCATAGTTTACATTAATAAAAAATAATTAAAGCATACTTATGTTGATTAACATAGAGCAATTTAGTCCAACTTTTTTTTTTATTTTCAGACATAATTATTATGGTTAATTAATTTTTTTTAACTGTGTAATATAATTTTTTTATATATATAAAAAAACAAAAGGAGTATAATATAAGCAGAACACATGTTGGGGGTCCAACCACGGCAGTCAGGTGTGTTCCAAATTAGTGATTGTTATTTGCTAAGGTAACAATGATTAATGTGAGATAACAAAACAAACACTCACATGTGTTGACAATCAAATAGGCATTGTCGCATATGCAATGATTAATTAGGAGATGTTTAAATCATCAAAACTTCTTTGAGTATCATTTATTATCTCTATAACTATTTATAAGAAATAAATTATAATTAGTTAATTTTTCTACATTTTATTTTATATAAATAGACAAGAAAATAATATAAAAACATACTCCTATAATCCAAGGGCGCTGATGAATCAGGCTGGTGGATGAACCACGTGAATTTAAGAACATGAAATGAATCCCAAAAACAAGAAAAGTTGTATGTCTTGTTATGATTATTTGGGGGAGCTTTGTTGTATGTCCTTTTCAATTATTTCACAGCAGAAAATAAAAATAAAAATGAAAAGGGAAATAATATTCTGGAAATCCAGTGAAGGACAGCTTGAGAGTTTAATGTCTGAAAAGGATTAACAGATTCTAAATTTACTCTGTCGGACCTGATGGTCAAATTGAAAATAAGTTTGCATGAGAAATGATTAATAAAAAAAAAAAACAGCCCCCTTGATCGATAAATAAAAAAGAAACTCCCTTGTCATTGACTAACGTAAACAGATTACCATACAATAAATAAATCATTTTAATTGTAGTTATAAAAAACTAACTATAATATAAAAAAGGCCAGTTAAAAGGGTCTATTATAGTTAAAAGGTTTGAAACTCTTAACTTATAAGTTTAAAACACACAACTATGATAAAATAATTCTCACCATCGTAGAGTAGTTCAAAATTAAATAATTCAACTAAAAGAAAATCCAAAATAAACAAACTTGAGTTTGAGCATAATATTAACCAATATGGGATCCCAAGGTTTATACTTGAAACACTTTAAAACTAATAAAAAAAACAAGATTTAAAACTAGAGTAAAAACATATACAAAAACATGTGATATCAATTGCTATTTAAAATAAATTAGAATAGGCTGAAAACATCAAGAAAACACAAAACAAAGGAATGCATCACAGATGAAGGACTTACACCGTGGCTTGTCCTCTCTATGTTATGTGCCATGGTGCATTGTGCAGAAACTAACAATTCCATGTTGTCAAATGACAACATTAGGGCCAAACTTCCAGGTGCCTTGATTCTTTGTGTGATGTTTGGTTGAAGCAATCAAGATGTCCCTAAAAAGCTCTTTCAGTGAACTAGTTATTAACATTAGTTTTACTCCCAAATTATTTTATACTAAAAAATTAGACATCAAAAAACATTTAAACCATATTTTCGTACTAAACAATAATTAGGATATCCCAAACCCAACCAACATGCGATACTTTTGAGTAAATGGGATCACAAAATAAAAAGAATAATTTAAAATTTAAAGACAATAAGATAAGGCCCTTGAAGACACTTAAGATCAGAGTATAAAGTTACATAATCTTGGAAAAGTAGTTGAGCATAAAAAAAATTAATTAAAACAAGGGCTAAGAAGTCATTTTCATAAAACTAAACTATTTGCTATGGCTAAAGTGGCATTGGCCATGGCTTATGGTATAGAGGCCACTCACTGTGGCCAAAAGTGTATTTTGCTACGGCCAACAACCTTAAGGCCATCTATCGCAATCAAATTCGTCATCCACCGTAGCTAACAAAAGCTCTCACTACAACCAATAGGTCGTGACAGTATATAAAAGATTGGACCTATAATACCATTTTTGAGGTGTCTAACTCTCAGCTTGGACCTCCAATTAAGGTAATCCAAGCATCCACACACAGAATAAGGATGTAAGCTAGGTAATGGCACCAGTATTTCCCATCATCTAAAAGTAAATGTGGACTTTAGACACCTATGACAATAGCAAAGAAGATATATCTCACTATCCTAAATCCCCAAGGGTCTCTAACCCCAAAATTAAGCCATTAACCCCAAAAATACAATCTTTTATGCATGTATAATAAAACATGATTAATGTTACACTCACATCCACAAGCCTGCACATTCACGTTTCACCTCTCAGGGCTTATTATTGACTAAGAGGATAGACTAGTTTGTCCACATTTAATCCACAATTACCCACATTTGCATCATTGGCCTATTTCCCAAAACACAACGAAGCACTAACAACATCAAATGCCTAAATCTACAAATTAGACTTACATGCAAGTGACAATTAAATCCATGCAAATGACCCCTAATGTTAGCAATAAACTATTCAATTACACGTTAAGGAAATTATCTGGAGACATTACAATAAGCTAATGTCTCTAGCTTCTTGCTTCCATTTCGCTCCTTGCTTGAATGTGAGCATCACTTAGAAAATATTAAATCATAAGAGTAGGATTATATAATCCCAATAACCGAGTGCATAAATTCAAGTACATGAATGAGTGGCATATATATAATCAAATGTATACACTACACAATTATTCACTATGTATCTCAATAACATCATCATGACCACAAAACATGTGAGACAATAATGATGATATTATTATGCATGATCATGCTTATTACTCTCCTTATATTAAGGACTAACTCATGTGATCAATTATCCCCGCTCTTCAATTATGAGAGGTGACCCAACCAAGGCCTTATACTCACTCTTCCTAGTCCAGGGTAATAATCAAGAACGAAAACACCAAGGCTTCACGATCCTAGTAAGTACCACATGAATTTTCATCCCTACTCTTTTGGCTAAACTCCCACCCATTCGTGATCATGCAAATTCATATAATGACAAGTTTCACAATCATAAACATACTCATCCATCCAGATGATTATTCTCATGTTCATAAATCATAAATTCATAACCACATTTAGTCAATCATATTTAATTACATTTTCATTATTATAACATGCTATGCAATCATGATAAACATTTTATGCACAA